GGGAAGGAATCTCTCCTGATAGTAGAAAATTAGCATTATATCTATAAGACACTAATTTAAAGCATAAGATGATTAAATGGCAAGATGATTATTTTGTTAGGTGTATGAGACCCATATGTCATTCAATACAGCCTCATAGAATTCCCCACACAATTAAATATAAGTTGGTGACTGATGGACCTCTTGAGTAATGAACTTTCCACAGCTGAAATGAATCAAGTTTTTTTTTTAATCCAAGACAGCATTTTATTTGTGAGAATTCAATTGTTTGAATTTCTTTATAAAATTTGATGATGATCAGTCTTTCAATGCAGCTTCAAACTTTTTGATTTATTGAACTTTTGTGTGATGAACTTCCTAATCATGGGATGAATCAAATTTTTTCACCTGTAACACCACCTTTTGTTTTGATTTTTGATATTGAACACATTTTTTGATTGAATGCTTTTTTTTAATGTGAGAAATGAACATTCTTGAAACTCAGCTTCAATTTTCCTCACTGTGAATGGGGATTTTTTTTCTCAAGAACTTATTTATATTGGAATGGACAAATATGTAAGTAAACCAAGGCACCTATATGTAAAATTTGGGTTGCATAAGTTGAGCATACTGCACTTTCTACCAATAATAAATATAATTATTTGTCACTCCCTGGGGAAAGTTTGCGGCACTCAATTGCTGAATAGAAAAAATTTGAAAAACTGTATAAGAATCACTTATTTGGAATTACGCAATTTTAATGTGTGAACGTGAGCCCGGCTCAGTGACGACTGAAGGCGTGCTTGCTGTTGGGGGCGGGAAGGAGTCTCTCTCTCTCTCTCTGTGCTGAGAGGGCGCCTTTTTCTTCATAACTCCAAGTCTGGCTTCTTCTTCTTCTTCTTCTTTTGTTCCTTTCCTCTTCTCTTTTTTTTTTATCCTGCTTTGCCTCTTCCCCACCGCACTTCTTATGTACAAAGGTGAAAGCAAATGCCAAGTCTTTTCTGTTACCTGCAGGAGGACCAAGAAGTTCTTCTGCCTGTTGCTGCTGGCTTCCAGCAGGAGAACCTTTCAGTATGATGCTGATGGTTATTGCATTATATGGAGGAGGATGATACCTGGCAGACTGATGACTGCTGATGCTGGCTGACTGTCTCATATCATCCTGCCTCAGACCCTCATTTCTTGGAAGTTATCCCTCATCATAGCACAGCTGTAATTGTATCCTCACTGCTGGATATTGGAAATTATTCCTTGTTTTTGTTTTGGCTGTCAGCATGCATATTGCTCTTGGCTTTGATGAGTTGCATGTATATACACCCTTTGCTGGAGATATTATACTGTATTGAATTCAGAGAATATTGATTGCCCTTCAAAAGCACATTGATCATGCTTTGGGAAATGTGCATGATGGCTGATGATGCAGGCATTTTTATTTTTATCTGTGATCTTTTTGGAAAAAAATCTTATTTGCAGTCAGGATTGTTTATTTTTTGCTTCTAAGTATGTTTTCACTAATGCAAGGGGATATGCCTATTTTATTTCTTTAGTAATTTTACAACAAAGGCTCCTCTATTAATTGAGTTTCTTGAGGATAATTTCATTAAAGTCAGCACAGACAATAATAATTGCCCTTGAAAATAGCTTCATATCTTAAAGTTAGAATTATTAACCATCAAGTGGGAGTGAGTTACATTCAGGTTGCATGGCCCATAGTGTGAGGGTATATACATTCAGGGAATTTAGTTGGTCTGAGTTGAAAAAGAAATCAAAGGAAGAAGACAAGAATAGGTAAATAAAAGGGGTTAAAAGTGTGATCTCAGTGTTTGTGCTTGTACACTCAACCTAAAAACAGATTCAGTTTGCCAACTTAATTACAGTTTGAGCAGATCTATGAAGGTGTAGTGTAATTAGGATCAAACTAAAGTAAGTTACTCAATTTGTGCGAGTATATGTTATCTGTGCTGTATATGCTGGTTTAATTTGGAGTGCTGCTTGGTACTGTATTCCAGGTGTGTTGTGCATTAATGCTTGCACTTCATATGATGCATGCTGGTTCAACTGAAGAACTTGGCACTAAATCAGGTTTGTTGTGCATTAATGTACAACCAACCTAAAACAGCACTTTATTGTCTGCCTATGTATAGATGCTAGTTTCTGTATACTGTACAGACAATTATGCATATAGTTTTATATGCATATATACAGTACCAACACATTAAGTTGAGCCAAACAACTGTACAGCATCCTATCCCATGTATATACAGGGTGTGTCACAGATTTAGTGAGTTGTTCTGAACAAACCAAGCAATTCTTCATCTCAAGCTTCTCCAGAAACTTAATCTTCAAAGAGAAGAATGCCAAAAAGCGATTTTAAAAGACTGAGCCATAAAAGAGAATGAGTTTTGGCAATTGCCAAAACTTGTCCTTGGTTATTTCTATGAGAATTGGGTTCCACCCCTGCTCTCACAATGAACTGAAATGGACCTTTGGTCCTTGATTTTCCCAAATCTTTGAAACTCTAAACAGTAACTGTACTTGGTGAACTTATTGTCAACAAAATATTCTTGTGAAAATATAACATATTAGAATAGGGTGTTCTCAAGCACCCCAGTTGCAGCCCAACTGAGTCTGTTGTACCATTTATTTACTCTTGTAATTTTTCCTCATATCTCTGTGACAGGGTGGACTAATGAATGGGCAATCTTTCTACTTACAACTGCTCAGTGGCAAATTGAGCTACAGCAATGAACCAAATAATAGCTTGTTCACTTTCTTATTAAATAGTATGTGTTTAATGGTACCAAGGGCTACAGTGTGGACACAATCAAGAGCCATTTGAATGGAAACTTGAAAAATCCTTCAATAAATTGAGCTGCTTTTCTCCAGAACTGTTTCAAGGGGTGAATGCTGTGCAGGACCATTTAATACCTTAATCAGAAAACTTCATGCTGCCTTCAATGAAGGTGATGGTGCATACATTTCTAAAATTCAAAAAGAGGGGTGTGACAACTGAGAAAAATTTAGCAGTGACTACATGCTGTACACAGTTTCAATGAATGAATGAACAGAACACTTTATTTGCCGCTTTTCAGCGTTCATAATTTAAAGCACAAGGTCTTCAGCTTGTTTCTGTATGAGGTTTAGTTGAGTGAACAAATTAGAGAGAATCTTTGATGAGAAATCAAATAAAGCCAACAGTTTATCTTGAACAGTTTCAACATGAAAGCATCATCAGTAACTTTGTGAGAAAGACCCAATGGAGCTATTCAAAGTTACCCATCAAATAAGGAAGTGTCCAAATTGAGAAGCTCTTCTATATATTACAGTATATATAATTGCTGGTGAAAAATAATGAGCAATTTCCCTCTTCATCCTGGTTTAAGATGAAAAAATAGTCATCATCATCACGCAATGGTATCACTTTTCCTCCTCCACCGCGATCCAGACTTCTTTGGTGATTGTAATAATAATGGGCAGTTATGCAATTTCGCCACGCATGGACTTCGCCATTATTACGCTCTTTTTTAGTATTTATATTTCACTACCTTCTCTATGTATACGAAAAAAATATTTCCTTTTTTTCTGCACGAGTCAGCACTTTTTCTCTGCTGCGCAGGCTCGCGAGATATATAAATATATATAAATATATCGGTACTTGCGTCAAACTTGAGAATTATTTTGCGACTATGAAAATCTTGAAGAATGGAAGACATGCAGACAGAATTCACTATACAGTTTATATACATCCCTCTTGTATATTTGAGAACTGGATTCCGGTTTCGTCATGATGGCGATTCTGATTTTTTTGGAAAGCGGGAATTTCCATGCTGGTGCTATACTGGGGGAAATGATTTCCTGCTTTTTCGACTTTGGACATTTGTTTAGTCATCCCCTTTTGTCTTCCTGTTGTTCTCTGAAGGAAAACTACTGAGCATACTGTATCTAGCTAGGATATACAGTATCTGGCAGTTTTTTATGATTCATTTTATAATTGTTATTTTCAAATATAATCCTTTCTGTAATAATTCGAATATGGGGCATGATAAAAAGGTGCCAAAATAAATTACAGAAATATTACCTTCTCTGGCCTTTTTTACAACTTGCATAATCTACAAGCTTCTGTATATGCATAAGTAACTATAAAATTTTGAAGTATTATAACAGAAATAAAATGAAATCATGAATAGAATATAGAGCCGTATTTACAAAAAATTACAAAATGTCTTTGCTTTGTTTATTTGAGTCTTGAATGGGTTGAACAAGGTAGCAGCAAAATTTCTGGGCCATCTTTAAACCAACTAAACTTTTAAATACTGTACACAGTAAAAATGTGAAATTATGATGCTCAATTGCGAGTTTAGTTCAATTATTCTTGTTATATATATATAGTATATCAACTCACCAATTTCCGCGTTTTAAATTATATCTGTCACATGCAAATAAAAATGTAAGCCTCTGTAAAAATTAAATTGAAATTAAAAAGTCTTTAGAAATTATTATGTATACTGTGGATATGCATACTGGTTTTCTCCAGCATGTGCTTGGCTCAAATTGATAAATTTACACTTTTCTGCTGCTGTTATAATGATGACTCTTCACTCATATAGTGTATACAGTATAAATATGTTTTAAGTTTTTTGGGCCATTAAAAATCTTTGAACCAAATGCTTGAAAAATTATTAGGGCTTTCATATCACTTGTTTAAAATTTTCAACGTCCAGTTTTTAAAAGAAAAGAGCGATTAATTAGCATGTTGCATATTTTATGCAGGACCTTATATCATTGCTATGAATGATTTGCTGATCAGTGTACAGTCCTAATAAGCAGCTCCATATAGCAGGTGCAGTAATATTTCTGATTGTCTGCTAATTTTCTTCTTTAAGGTTGGACATTACTGCATATACGCTGGAGGAGAGACTTCTGGGAAGCCTTTCCAGACATGGATCTCAAAATTAATATACTGTACTGTATTCCATAGTGCCGCAGTCAAGATGAGAAGTACAACTTTGACGGATAGAGCGCACCAGCGATAAAACATGGCGGCGTTGCTGTTAACGCTAGAGAAGTTTGTGAGCAGGCTCAAGTCTCGAAGCAACTGCGTTTCAGATTAAGTAGGCGGACAAATGTGATTTTATTTTCCTGAGATGAAGGTGTGTTGTGTTTTGATTTGGGGAATACTTTGCGGAAGTGTGACTGGTTTATCCGGATATGGAAGCAACGAAGGGACGAACACATGCGAGCCGATAACCATCACTTTGTGCCAGAACCTGAAGTACAATGTTACTCGCATGCCGGGTTTCCTGGGGCATAAAAGTCAGGACGAAGCCGACGAAGAGGTGATGAATACATGAATCCTTCGAGTTTCACAATGTCATTGGAATACTTTTCTTCTCCAGATCATGAGTTACAAACCATTAGTGGACACCGGTTGTAATGAAAACGTGCGGTTCTTCCTCTGTTCCTTGTTTGCTCCGATGTGTTCCCCGGATGTGAGTGTAACCATCCCATCATGCAAGTCAATCTGTTTGAAGGTGAGTTCATGTGATCTTTTCACCCTTGGTTTTGTGTCGTGATAGTTTATTTTTGTGTAATATCAGGTCATGGATGATTGCTTGCCTGCGCTGCAAAGTATCGGAGTTCCATGGCCACCGAAACTCAACTGTTCACGTCTTCCAATCCCTTCGGAATCATTATGTATGGAACCAAAGGACTCTGGTGAAGGGAACAGCGGTTCAGTTGGAACTTTCCAGCCAACGAGTCATGCGGGTTTCGATTGGCGAAATCGCAACTGGGGTTCGCATTCCACCATGATTGGAGAACCCGTGGACTCTCAAAGGACTCTGGTGAAGGGAACAGTGGTTCAGTTGGAACTTTCCAGCCAACGAGTCATGCGGGTTTCGATTGGCGAAATCGCAACTGGGGTTCGCATTCCACCATGATTGGAGAACCCGTGGACTCTAGATGTCCTCCGAATTATATCCCGGTTAGGTTGAGTTTTGCGCCATTTACGTGTGTTCCGCGATGTGGTGCCGATGCTGTTTACTACGAGAAGGATAAGGAGTTCGCAGAGGTAAATGCTTTTGTCGCACTCTTTTCAATTTCTTAGTTACGCAATCCTTAGAATCTCGAATGCACAGTTCTTGTACTGTATTCAATATGTTCAGGCAGACAGAATTTTTTGGATTTTTGCACATTTTGTGTCTACAAGAAGAGCAGAGCTGTTTCTTTAAGTTTTGTCCAAGTTTTATATCAGGTGCCTTCATGCAGGAATCGCCTATATTTCAAGGAAAGCTTCCACTTTGTTTATAAAAGTGTTACGAAAGGGAGGTGACATGCAACAATAAAATCGCTTTTCAGCAGTAAAGGTCACTTTTGAGATCGGAAATTTAAGACTGTCGTCCTACCCTGAGAATCTTTTAAACATTTATGTTTGAATTTGGAAGTTCGTTAGAGCAAGATTGTTTTACTTTTAACAAGTACTACTATTGGCCTAGTGTCGGGACTTCGTGTTCTTGAACGGAAAAGTTTGTTGGACTGAAAATAACAACTGTTCGTTGTTGGCGAAATTTTTACTGTATAATATTTTTAATTCCAGGTTTGGATGACGATCCTTGCTAGTCTTTGTCTGGCGTCAACGGCGTTCACGGTTGCCACATTTCTCATCGACGTGGATCGATTCCAGTACCCGGAACGTGCCGTAGTATTCTTATCATTGTGTCTGGGTGCCCAAGCGTCTGCGTATCTGCTGCGAGCTATTTTAGGGCCAGAACGAGTTTCGTGTGACGCCGCGGGCGCCGCAGTTGTCCGCGGAGGCGCCGGAACATCGGGTGTCGCCGAAAACTCTTGCGTCGTCGTGTTCCTCTTGAGTTACTACTTCGGAACAGCGGCGTCTGCGTGGTGGGTTGTGCTCACAGTCACTTGGTTCCTCGCTGCTGGTCGGAAATGGTCGTCCGAGTCCATCAAGCGTTTGGCGCCGCATTTCCACGTGGCGGCGTGGACGGTGCCGGCGGCGTTGTGCGTCGTGGTTGTGGCCTGGGAGCAAGTGGAAGGCGATGAACTCACGGGAATGTGTGTGGTGGGAGGAGGGGCGGCTGTTTTAGGCCTGGTGATTGTGCCACTTGTGGCGTTTTTCTGCGCCGGGGCGGCGTTTATCATCACTGGGTTCTCGGCGTTGGTGCGGATACGGAGGGCGTTGAAGCGAAGGAACAGGGCCAGTGCTGATAACGTGGCCAAACTGGAGACTCTGATGGTGAGCCTACTTGGACTGAAATTTGGCGGTTTTTCTTCTGTAGTTTTGCACTCAGTTTGTGTCACCGACTAGATCCCGTAAGTGAAAATGTGCGTGTATCGCTGCGAATTTCACGGCCATTTTGTATCATTATCATGCCCGCAATGGAAGTGGAGTATTGCCCTAACCTTCTCGATTACAACACGCTTCGAAAATCCTCTCCCAAAAATTAATTACCTCATAATTTGTGGAACTATCTGAATCAATTACGTTGTCTAAATTCGCTTCCATTAAAAACTCAATTTGCGAATCTGTCGTCTAACTCGTCTTTCATCATGCGGGGTCTCACTGTAAAACTAGGTCTGCGTACAGTGCGTAGATCGAGTATTTCAAAGAGGGGATCAATTCATTGTGAAAGCTGAACACAATTTGCTTGAGTTTTTCTTTTGTCAAGTCGAATATTTTATTTCTTGGGAGGAGATTAATTCTTGCTAATTGCTGCTTTTTTCTCCTATTGCAGGTGAAGATTCTGGTGTTTTCTGCATTTTACGCGATTCCCGCCCTGGGGGTGATAGGATGTACAGTGTTTGAGTGGCGCCACGCGGACATTTGGTCGAAACAGGCCCTCAGACACAGCCGAGACTGTGCAGATGCGCATCGACTGCCCCGAGTCGACTTCCGCCACTGCTGGCGAGAAAATCACGGTGGTGCCCAAATCAGCATCCCCATGATGCGACTATTTATGTCGCTCGTTGTCGGCATCACGCCAGGCATGTGGATGTGGTCGTTCAAAACGTGGGCGTCGTGGAAGCACTGGGTGACCACCAGGCTGTGCTGCAGAGTCAGGAGTGGCGGCGGCGGCGGTGGTGGTGTGAAGAGTGGCGGTCTTCGAGACGGATTCGAGCTCCGGAGAACGCCTTTGGTGCAGACGGGTGCTGCTGGTGTGGACCCCAGGCTGAAGTTGACTGGGGTTTAATTTCCGTGTTCCGTTGTGTTTATTTTTCATTTTTTACGTATATATGCCGGATGTCGGAAAAGTTGCGGTGCTATGAAAATTACTTCGAGCTTTTCTCCATCGCAGTTGTTGGAAATTGTCCTCAGTAGTGGATACAGGGTGTTCAACTCGCTGCTAGACCCTTGATTGAATTAATTTTAGAAAAGTCAATATGAACGATTGCAGTACTGTATTTAAATACAAAGGCTAAGACTTAGAAAGATGAACGCTTGAACCTCTGCAACTGAAACCTCCGCTTGTCGGATTTTTTCAATTCCCTATCTGAATTCTTTTAGAATAAATGTATTGATCCGTCAAGCTCGAAGGGCTTTTCTCTCCTTAAACGTCCATAACTCGAATTTTATGGAAGCATTTTGCCAATTATTTTTGTGACCCAGGAAAGAGAAAAGCGATAAAAAAAATTTTATGCTTTTTGAAAGGAAGTGAAAGGATATTTGGGAAATTTAACTCTCGCCTCCCAAGTTCAACATCCTGTCAATTGCTGTACAAGGCAGTTTTGGGCTATGAAAGATCTAATTTCAACTTCCTTCAATTCTCCATTTTTTTCCGAGGCAAAAATTATATTTTAACTTAGTCAAAACCTTCCCCAGTCGATTGTTTTTTCTGTTCTTTTGAGATTCCGCTGAAAAAGGTTGAACTACAGCGGTTTTAAATCAACGTTGCTACTAAGGACTGACGGAGCTCTGACTTGCTCAAACTTGCGATTCTTTAATTCAAGAACAAACCATGACAGTAAAGATATGCATTTTTTTTAAATCGGAGCATACCTTTGATTCCTTCCATTTTCCATACTGGAGACAGAATTCTTTGTCCAGAAATGAAAAAAAAATTCTCACTCCTAACTATCCTTCCTACATTGCTTTGACTCAATTTTCAACTACCGACGTATGTAAAAGTCCCCAAAAAATATTTTTCAACGTTTTAGTAAAGCGAGAATCGCCTTGTACTTCCCATTCTCCTTTACCACATTTTCTATCGGATCAACTACAATGTTTTCTTCATTCGTAGAACGTCTCAGTTGTTCGAACTCGATCACTTTTCGCTGTGAAGTAACTTCTCTGACACCGAATGTTGAGAATTTTTTCATGGTTTGCGCGCGACGTGGTGCTATGATGTGAAAAAAATTTCAGAGTAACTTACGAGGAAAAATTTCCGCTTTTTTTGTGACGGAGATGTGGTCAGAGCCGGGCTGAAATCTTGCCGTATTTTTTAACGATTATCCCCATTTTTAGTTTAAATTCGTGAAACGTCACGTAATTTCAGAGTTCATCCAATAAATCCGTTCTGTTTTAATTCGTTGAAGTTGTACAACTTTTGCGACAGAGCACGAAAAACGTGCCTTGATGTAGAGCGCAAGAACTGACGCCGTCCTTGAACTTTTGGCGAGCTTTGACGAGACTGATTCAGATGTGGAAGTTGTTTCTAATCACGATTATAATCATTCAGTGTAACTTATGAAGAGGAGCATTTGAGGTTTTTTTTTTTCAAAATTATTCTTTATCGATGGGCTGGAATAATAGAGATCACCCTCTATCCAGTCTATGACGAAGAAAAACTTTGGCAAAAATCGGATTCCGTCCTTCGCGTGGATTTCGCGTTCGAATGAAGCGATGACTCGATTTTGACGCTGTGTTTGTGTGAAGAATTTCCCATCTGCGCACTTCAAAGAGATTTAGACTTCGACGTTCAAGAATCTTCGACTTACATGATGCAGATGTCGCCCGTTTTTTCAAGTTTTATTGGGTCTATGTGAGATTTAAGGTTTAAAATTGTTTCGATTACTTAAGGACTCCAAGTGTGTTAGGTTGAATCCGGTTACTCTGGTTAAAAACGTATACGTTATGCAACCACATTTTAATTTCTATAACTCGAATCGGCCTGAGTAGAATCCCTCCATATGCCAAATTTTCTTTGTGTCCCTGTCTGAATTCCCTTATGGTAGTTTAGTTTCCCCAACTTGAAGGTTTTCTCTTCCAAATCTTCATAAATTGAATTTTCCTGGGGCCTTCTGGCTGTTGATTTATTGATACCGTGAAAAAAAGCAATAAAAAATGTTACTTGATATGTATTGAAAGAAAGCAGAAGACTAATCAAGGCAAATGAACCTTTGCCGCCACAATCCGTATCCTGTCAACTAATTTAACACGCAATTTGTGGCCCAGTTTATCACCAATTGAAATTTTTTGGTAATAATTTTTTCTTCCTTCCAAACAAACAGCTTGTCTCCCTAACTAAAAATGTTTTCCATGTCTCCAGATTTTCAACATGTAGAGGTTCCAATATACTGTAATACTTATGGTCAGACTAATGTTTTAGGCGATACCTACGTTAAATAGGAGCAATTAAGATTAAGGAACTGGATCTTCTGTGTGCATTCGAGAAAGAGCTTATGACCGTGGGAAGTTGTTGAACTTGCGGCTTCTTGATCAGGTGTTGTTTCGAACTGCCTTCGGAAAAAATTCTGTGATTGTTACGATTGTGTGGTAAAAAAAATTTCTATTGAAATTGAAATCGTATTTTACGCTTTTGGTAGTTCTAGTCAGTATTTAACACGCTTGGAGAATGTTTTTTCTTTATTAACTGGCGTTGGTTGCACTAGTGATCTTTCCTTACAGGATGTGTGGGATATTGGGAAACGGATGGACAGTCTTAGTTTGCGGTATGATTTGTGTAAGACATTTGTAGAGGAAGTTGTTGATGCACTCGTCATGGATTCGCTCGTATGTTTGTGTTCAGTTTTCATTTGTCGACGGTTTTGGCGTGGACAAAATTGAAGATTCGGGGGCGAGGAAAATTCTGGAATGGGCCGAGGATTACATCAATACCCAGACAGATGTTAGTCAGCCAGTGACAATCGTCGATGTTGCCAGTTTTGACAGGGAGGTAAAGAAAATGTCTTCACTAAATCAGTCTGTTTATGTTCGTAATAACTTGTCTTTATTCTTCAAGATTGATGTAGGTGTTAATTATGATTTGCGACTTCGCCTGGGCTTTCTTGTGTGTCCGAAGTTTGTCTTGAGGGGCTCGGCATCGTGTAAACTGGACGAGAAATTGGTGAGTGAGCTGAGTTGTGATGAAGATATCTATTTTGTCTGAGATACTTGAAGTTGTATAAAACAGAGCTGAACTATTTATTTATTGTCTGAAGACGTGTCTTCTTGAAAGAGGAAGAGTTTGAGAGCAGAGATTTTTGCTGTTGAAGGAGGATAGGCTTGCGAATTCAATTTTTTCAAGAATTTTCGGAAAATCTTATTCGTCGATAAATCAGAAAAGAGTTTGTTACATCATATGTACCGTATATCGTGTGTACATTATACAGTATATTATTACAATACATTTTTATATTTTATAATCTATTTTTTTATCATCAGCTTCAGAACAGAGCTTTGTCTCTTTATGTCGGTTGCTTTGAATTTTTTGAGGGATAACATTTTGGAATGAGGGTTTTTTCATGAAGTGTCGAAAAAGATCCGATTTTGATTGAAATCTGTTCAAATGAACGCAGCTCTCGAAAAAGACAGCAAAGAACTTCTGGGTAATTCGAAGCTCATCTCAAATTGAAGCATCTTCGTCAAAAAATCTGAAGCTTGTACCATATTTTTATTTTTATATATTTTGCTCCTTGAAAGTTAACTCTGCAAGTCTCTAAAATAATTTATGATGGCATTTCTAGTACATCTACAACATTCCAATTTTCGTGCCATGATTTTCAAACGGAAAGAAGAGTATTTTTGACAATTTGACCATCAGATTTCATGCACCTGCGATGGGAATTTTTCTGGAAACACCGACAGATTTTTCTTGCTTTCCATCGACGACTGAATCTCTCTCCAAGTGTTGTTTCAGAAACCGAATGACGTGTTTCGTTTGACAGATTTCTCTCTGCACGAGATCAATTTTCACATTTTCAGCCTGAAACTCTTTGCGACGTCGGGATCCTGGAGGACTCCGTCTCCAAAGAAAAAGAAATGACGCGTCTGCTGTGCACCAACTCCTCACGTCCTTCCAAAACCTACCTCTCCGCCGACGCGTCTCAAGTGGCGTCCTTACTCCCGACACCGCCGTCCCCGTCGTCTTCCGTAACTGCCTCTGAGGCGTCCAGCGTCTGCGACGAATTCGACTCCGTTGACATTGATGAAGTTCTTCCGAGTGGCTGGACCCGGTTGCACAAAGCGGCCCAAACCGGCGACCTGGCCCGAGTCATCACTCTGCTCGACTGCGGCGCCAATCCGTTGGTTTACGGAACTGCCGGCGGCGGCAGTGTCCCGATCCACGAAGCCGCCTTTAATGGACGAGCGGATCTAGTCAGTGAGTTTCTCCGTCGCGGCGTGGATCCGGACGTGATGAAAAAGGACGGCTGGGCGTCGATTCATCTGGCCCTTGTTGTGGGCATTGTGGACCCTGTGCCTGTGATTGACGCCTTGCTGGTGAATGGCGGCGACGTGAATTTGATTACAAAGGACGCGAAATTGCTTTCACCGCTAGATGTCGCCTATGAGAGGATGCAGACAGGCGAAGTGAAGGATTATCTTGTGAAACGCGGTGGGAAACGGAGTAGTGAATTGAAAGCTGGAGAGACGAAGAGCCTCAAGAAAAATTAGCCGATGATGTTGAACGACAGTATTTAGAATTTTTATCGATCGCAGACTACTGAAAAAATGTGATGCAGCCACTCTTTTGCTGATCTGGAAATTTCTTCGATGCAGGTTGAAGACTTCGTAAACATCGACGAGGGAAAAGAAATCTCGTGTTTTGAGGGACTCAAAGAATGCCTAAGATACGAATATTTTTCTTCAAAAATGTTTCTTTTAAACCCCGCGAAATCTGACGTTGAGGAAGCCGATGTTGATGATTTTCGGGACGATTTTGGTGATATCATTGTGATCAATTAATGGCTCGTGATTTTTTTTTAATTTGGTACTAGCATATTCTCTTAATTGAATCCGAGGAGCATAGAATTTCCAAATGCGTTGAGCACGAATGAATCACGTCTGACTGGAAAGAATAAGTTCAACTGTACGATGACCAATTGGACAGCAATGAATTTTTCTATTATTCTAACGCGGCATTTTCAATTCCTTTTCGTTGGGATATTCTGTGCACCTAATGGTGCCCCTCAGTGCGTTTTTTTATGTATATAAAGCAGAAACTTCCCTGAAAAACGCTTTTGAGAAGTAATGTACCAATAATAATGAACGTTATGGTGATAAATATCGATTGCAGGACAAAGTTTCTTTGATCCTTCGTAGGAAAAAAAAAAAAATCTAATTTTCTGCAAGATAGCCTTATTGAAGAGACCGCGGATGTGATTGTTACATTAATGCAGCTAATAAATATCTTCATGAGGTTCATGTTCCACTTCTCATTAATTTTGCCCAACCTCGAAAAAAGGTGGATTATAGTTAATCGGTTTATTGTTTTGTGATACCATGGCTTTAAGAGACAGTAGATTGCAGAAACTTGGCCTGATCAGGCCGAAGTGTCCAATAGGTGATGGACAGTTCACGGGATCTGATGATGAGGATGCTGACAGTTCCGTGTCTGATGATGCTGACGTTCTCAGCAGAGAGTTGGAGGTCATGTTGGGAGAGCTGAAAGCAGATGCAGGAAGTTCTTGTCCTGGGGGTGGGGTGAGTTAACGTATTTTTTTTTAAATTTGCGAATCCGCTGTTTTCTCGAGGATTCCAAGCTATCCAGTACGATGTGCTCCTACATTTTTATAAAATTCGCCTGAAATACCGTCACTGTGTCCTTGATGAAAATTAAGTCAAATTTCAGGGGACCAGCAATAAAAATTCGACTTAGGGAGGTTTTGAATTGTTTAATCAGTCTGTCATTTTCTTTCAAAACACATCAATTTACTTGTATTATTGCTTTTCTTTTTCATGTGTCAAAAAATAGCTGATAGGCGTCAAAAAAATCGATTTCCAGAGGTTTGAGAGGATAAGCCTTCAAGTTGAGGAGGGTTTTAATGCATTGTTTCTAACTGAATTCAGATTGGGACTTGAAAAAAATTTGACTTTGTAAGGTTGAACTTTACATCTTCACTTCGCAGATAGAACAAGCGACCAGGTTCAGAGGACTACTCATGGCCATGGACTTGCGGTGGAAGGACAGGGTGCAGGATCAGCAGACCCCGGCCAGGGCCATGACCAACAATGTGGACAAGTTGATTGACTCACTCAACATACGGTCAGAGTTTTTGGTCCAGCAGGCCACCAGTGGCGTGGACTCGAATCTGGCCTCGAACTGGCCTCAGTGCGACATTCCTCCGGGCCAGCTAACTGCAGTGGATTTTTTACCTCCGAATGAAGACAAGGCTGCGATTTCGGAATCCAAAGAGGAGAAGGGCAGAACCGTGTTCAAGCATAAGATTAAGGTTTATTTTTTTTTAATCTGGTTGTTGTTTTGAATATTACTCTTGCTGTAGTTGATCACAACTTGTTTTTTTTATTGTGTTGTTTAGATGACGGAAGAAGCGCAAGAGGATGGAAGTGTGTCCAAATCGTACAGCATCTCAGCCAAGGCGAGGATTTCTGTGACTGACATTTTCCCGAAAGATCAGAAGCCAGTTTGATTATTTTTCCCCTTGAGAATTCTCTAGTTCAACGCTTATTATCTTTTGATTTCAACACTGTGGACGTTTTTAGCCCTTCGGATTCAGAAGTTTTTATTATTGAAAGAAAAGTGTTTTTTCCAAAGACATTTTTAATGTCCCTCGCAGTTCTTCTGTAAAACTCGGTGGGGAATGATCTGAATTTGTCTTCTTCTCTTACAAGGAATCCTGAGACGTTTAGCATGAAAATTCAATGGCTGATTCAATTTCGAACAACGAATGACTTTATTTTATAATTTTCACAATGGAAACAAACTTGACTTCGCTAGAAAGGTGAGACTTCAAGTACTGTCACTGTCTTCAAGTCAAAAGATTTTTCGTCTTTTCTTCCTGGAACACGTCGGATCCGTGACAGCAGTAATGCGAATCGAGCTTTTCATCGACTGGGTTGCACAGGAAATTCAGCAATGGCTGCATTCCGTGGAGTTGGCATTCGTCCTTCACGTGCACTTCATCTTTCATAATACTTCCGAGTCCTTCTGCGTGCTTCATTTGGTCAAAGAACATCCTCCAACTGGACCAAACGATCACATTGTCCCGGTACTTCGAAATCACATCGAGACTTTGCTGAATGTAAGTTTCAATATGCTTGTTGTACTGGGTCAATTTGCCGTTCATCGTTTCCGGAAGAATCCAGATGATGGTTTCGACTTTCCAGAACGTGATGAGGTGGTTCAGTAGTCCGTCGAGTCTTAATTTATGTATTCGGAGTTTTAATGTTATGGGAAGATCTTTCAAGTCATAGAATCGGTTTTTTTGATGTATAAAATGCTCTGGTGGACGGACGAACCACACTGCGCCTCCAAACAGAACAGTTTTTGTACCATCTGGAAGCTAAAGAAAAATGATGCTCTAGATGAGGATGGAACCTCCAATAAGCCCCTTAATTCACGTGAATGACCTTATAAATACAGTATCTTCAGAATAATCTAAGAAGATAGTTTGGTGATCCAGTGTTGGACTTCAGTTCTTCCAAATTCCCTGATTATATTTATGATCAATTTAGTGGAGAACCTGATAGAAGGAATATCATTCTGGAATAGGAACGTTTTAATTGTGTGGAAAAGACGCTCAAATTTTTTCATCTATACCCAAACTCTGATTATTTCATCATGCAACTATACATGTATTATGAATGCATTTGATCTCAAAAGAAGAGAAGATCTTTAAACAAAATTATATGATTGAGTATAGAACATCATTTTGGCTGTTTAATTCACATTTTCATAATTCATTGAATGAAGATGTTTAACGCAGAATGTTGAACACACTGCCTCTCTCTCTCTTTAGTATATATATATACATATATATATTTTGTTGTCTTGGATTTTCCTAATAAAGATTAGAACAAATCAGACAAAGTCAAAAGTGTGGCTCAATACTTCTATTTACTCTTTCACAACACATCCATTCATTCCCAAATATACAATACAAGCACACACTTTGGAATAGTCAACATTCAACATGAATACAGTTAAGTACAATGTTAAATGGGAACTCTACTATTATCAGAACACTTCCTTTTCCAAGTTACCAGCTAGGACCTAGTTGGGCAGACTCTGACAATAGACTGACCAAGAATTCTTCTTGGTCCAGGGTGTGAGGGAGCTTATGTACAATATCATCTTCTATCTTCTGCATCAATATGAAAACACAGTATTGTGCAGGTTGGAACAAGCATTAATAGTCAGGTCAATCATGACCAGGAACCCATCAACTCAAGTCCAAAAAGGGGAAGTCACAATTATCCTGTCAGGGTGTGAACAGGAAAAGGAGAGGAATGATTCCTGAGCAATTCTTGATGGAACTGAATAACAAGAGGGATTCGAAAACAGGATAGAATGGGAATTGGGTCAGAACCTGTTTTCCTCTATTAAATGAATAGAATGAATAGAGTGAAGATAATTGACTCTGGATTAACCGATTCAATTAATCTTCAGGAAGCTTCTGTCAAGAGGGGTCAATCACACCTGTTGCTCAGTTGACAGGTTTCATTAACAACAGACATTTTTGACTCTGCAAAAATGGGAAATATAGGAAATGAATGGAATACGAAAACAGTTGATCACTTTCGTTGATCTGAGAGAGTGCACAAAATGTGCCTCTTGAATGACTAACTTTGGGAGAGGGTTTTCCCTTTCCAGGATAACAGAATATATACTGTCATCAATACTTCTAGTTGTTCCTTTTAACCTAGCAGACGACGCTTCAAGCAGCTGCATTGTGCCTGCCTGTCTCACGCCCTTGCTGCGTGCTCTGCTGAGTCACGTGCTGAGGGTTATGCAACCCTCCTTGAAATGAGGTCAGATCCGGGTCTGACCACTGCTACCTGGTTACGAGACAACTCACACAGCGACAACTCACACAGCGACAACTCACACAGCGACAACTCACACAGTGCGACAACTCACACAGCGACAACTCACACAGTGCAACAACTCACACAGTTTTTTTTCTTCAGTAATTTTTTTTTAAATCTAGGTTCTGGTTAAAATGTATATACTTTCTATATACTTTCTATGAATGTAGATTTCATTTGTTCCTAAACGTCTTGTATTCATTTACAAAATTGGGCTTAGACCATGAAAAATGCCAAGATAAATTTGTCCAATGAACAGGATTCTGTTCATCTTGAATTTTTTAGTGCTTTTGTTTCAACCTAGTAATTCTTTCCTCTTATGTCCTAAATTAATTGCATGCATTAAGTATGGATTTTTTTTATTTGTATAAATTTTTATAAAATTGAGCACCCAGTCATTTGTATGGCTCACAGCAATTTTCCCAATTTTCATAGGGATGTTTGTGAAAGAATGTTTTTGTGATGCTCAGCATATGGACAAAAAATCCAAAAGATTTTATTTCAACATCCTTCAAAATGCTTGTGTTTTTAACCTATAGTCAAGGATAATTTTGTCCTCTTCTCTCCTCAAGTATTTGTGTTCATTT